TTTAACACATTATATATAATGTATTCCGACATGGAGCCCAGTGAAGTGAAGTCTACTGTAGGACATGAGTTTATTTATTTTCTACCGTACCTTTCTCGCCCCTCTTCTTTTTGGTTCTGTCGATGTGGTCCTTGAGCTGGATGCGGACCTGCCTCTCGTTGGGCTGGTCCCGGATGAAGGGGTGCTTCAGCAGCTGCTCGGTGGGCGGCCGCTGGGTGTAGTTCTTCACCAGGCAGCCCTCGATGAAGCTGAAGAACTTCTTGGACCTGTGGGAGGAGGAAGAGGAGGAAGAGGAGGAGCGGTCAGGAGGAGGCCAGGCAACCGACGGAGCAGGGAAACGGAACGAGGTTTTGCCCACCACTTTTTGGACTTGAGCCGAGGGGGGGGGTTTCTGGGGATGAGGAAGAGGGCTCTCATTGGATGCATGTCACACAGAGCTGTGGAAAAACAAACAAAATATATAAACGGAAAACCAGTGAGATCATTAGATGATTGGTTTGTGTCCCGTAAGAGCCCCGAAAGCCAAAACGAGCTGGGGAAAATACCGAAACAAACCCCCCCTCTCTATCTGACCAGCTTCACTGTGGAGAGTAAAGCAGAACTTCTACGTAGGAATTTAAATTTAATTTCAAATATTCATACGTTGGTTCAAATATTCCCATTAGAATACGCTGTAATTCCAATGATTCATTCCAAAAACCTACGATAACTCCTTAAAAATACTGCATATAATTACACATAGCAATAAAACAAATGACTTTTATAAGAGAGATGTAAAAAGAAATAGATTATAAAGAAATAATCAATAAAAAGGGGGTTTTACTGGCACTTTACCTCAGAGACTGTTGAACGGACGTACCCTAACTTACTCTAACTTTCACCACGTGAACTTTAAAGTAATTTAGCTTATTTATTTTTATCAATTTTGTATGTTTTATATATATTTTTCTATGGAAATGTACTTAATACATTTGCTTAAATGGACTTTTTCTATCTCTTTAATGAATGTTGGATATTTACTTCAATTTGTATAGATTTCACTTCGTACGTTGGAAAATTTGTATGTTTAGGCGATCGTAAGTAGAGGTTCTGCTGTACTCCAAAATCCCCAAAAAGCTAAAGAAAACATGCCTGAAAAGGTGGCGAATACTCACGGGGAGCTCCTTCGGCCATTTCTATGGCTGTGATTCCACAGGACCACAGGTCACTCTGAGGGACAAAAGGCACCATTACTGCCAGAAACCAGCCTCCATTTTTTTATGCTGACTTATTTAAGCTAACTTATTTATGATAACTTATTCATGCTAACTCATTTATGCTAACTTATTCATGCCAACTTATTTATGTTATGCTAACAACCGCGAGCTGCTAGAGCCTGAGAGTAAAGCAGGAATCCTCTAACTCTTTTAAAAAAGGCCTAACCCTTTAATGCCAAATGTATCATATTTGATTCATACTGTTTCTGAAATGTTTTGCTTCTGACACCTTTTGCATAATTTAATGGTAAAAACTTTGCTCAAAATCCTATTGTACACAATCAGATACACCTGATAACAGGGGGCAGAAGACTACACAAAAAATAATCTGGACTTATCGCGTAGTAATAAATTATTAATATCAAAAATGTATTTCTTTTTACATATTTTGTTAACTCATTGGCTGCCAAAGACGTCTATAGACGACTTTTATGTTTTTCTACGAGAGTGGCTGGGGGACGATCTGCTAAAGCTTGTCCGTAAATATCAGGCTTCTAGACAGAGTATGTAGTAACAAATTGACCCTCTAGGGGGCAGTGCCACTTTTGATGGGAGATGAGCATAGACTGTAGGCAAATGAGAAAAAGATAACGGTTCGCTATGAGAGAACATGTCGCCGGTGAGACGCAAGTCGAGGAAGAACGGAATAAGGTAGAAACAATATTTTTTTCCTGATGAAAGAAGAGAGTCTACTCTTTCTTTTGGTGTGTTCGGTGTTTACATAGTCATAGCACAAACTATTCTGTGGCTCTTGAAAAATCAGTCAAAATGCTCAAAAAACTCCGGCAGTATGGGACTCTGTTCTGAAAATGGCTGGCAGTCAATAAGTTAAAAGGCCAAATAAGGAATTCAAACCAAAAAAAAGTAGTTTTTGGTTTTGTTTTAATCTTGGATCAGGCTTTAAAGGGTTAAAGGTGAAGGGGGCGGGGCCTCACCCGGTAGTCGTAGGTGGCGTCGGGGTTCTCGTCGCAGGCGATGACCTCCGGCGCCATCCAATATGGCGTCCCGATGAAGGTGTTCCTCCGGCCCACGGTCCGGTCCAGCTGGGCGCTCACGCCGAAGTCCACTGAGACGGAGAACACCAGAGAACCCGTCAGAGGAACCCGGAAAAGGCCGGTTTGACCTCTGACCTCTGGGGGAAACTGCTGTTTACTTCCTGTTTCAGGGACTTTCTGGTCTTTAAGCGAAATAGCAGAAAAACCATCCATCCATTATCGTTACCGCTTATTCCCTAATGGGGTCGGTGGGGGGTGGAGCCTATTCCAGTAGCCAATGGGGAGAGGCGGGGTCCCCCTGGACAGTCCCCAGTCCATCACAGGGACACACAGAGACACACAAGGACCAACAACCACACACACTCACACTAAGGGCAGTTTGGAGTCCAACAACCTAACATGCAGGTTTTTGGACGGTGGGAGGAAGCCGGAGAACCCAGAGAGAACCCACAGACACAGGAGAACATGCAGAACCACCCAGAAAGGTCCTGGTTCCCCCGGGGACTCCAACCCAGAACCCTCTGGTCCTGGTTCCCCCGGGGACTCCAACCCAGAACCCTCTGGTCCTGG